ACATCAACTCGGTTTTAACGAGAGAATCGGCTAAATATGGTAGTGTTCAAATGTACGTGCTCCTGTCATACACTCTGCTCGTCACAGCCTCCGTGTAGGAAGCACTGTTTGCATTGGGATCAGCGTGTGCCTTCGTCAAATAATGACACGGTAGGCGTCATGTGATTGTCGCCAAAATGAGTTTTGACTTGACAATATCGAGTGCAGAAGCTGGAGTATGAATCAGCAGGAAATGAGACGCATATGGCTCCTAGGTGTGAATATCGCAGGGTTGAAGTGACAACTCAACTCACATGCGCTTCAGCTCAACGGGCTGTACACCACATGAGGCAAAGGTCTGAGGCTATAGGTGTATCGCATGCGGGAGGGGGTGACATTCTTGTAGGTCGGTGCACGGCAAACTGGATGGATCAATACTAGTTACCTCATGAATATGAACTATCCTTGTCACTACGGATGTGTGGAGTCAAGACTAATGGAAAATATGTCATTGTTTAACTGCGCAGTCACCCGATGTGAAATTCTGCAAGGGAAGCATACAAATGCATCGGTGCTCTCACTGTGCGTAGTACGTGCAAATTCACCATGGGAACTTTCGGTCCACAAGCCCGCTATGGAGTTTCAGTTCAAACCGTACATGGATCAGCTGTAAAAACAACGTAGCCGGGTAGTGACATCGATGCCTTGTATCAAGTTCGAGCAGACCTTGCACTGCACGCACAGCACCGTCATGCCATCGATGCTCATCTCTCTATCTTAGTCTGGTACCTGATAAGTTCGCGCTGTCTACTCTGGAGTCTTCATCTGCCACCTACGCAGGACTGTCATGACTTCAACGAACGCATGAAGCGCATACGGTGACATTCAAATCTTGGATGAGGTTTTCCTCCTTCCCAGTTCTTCCGACGTGACGTTTGGCATCCGTCTCCAAAACACATCTTCTACAGAAAAATGCACTCTCAGTTTAGGTCCAAATATCTTAGAAGGAGTTAGACATGCAACTGGTAGACACAGAAGTTTCAATATTTGATTGGCTTACGGCTAACCCTACCAATTTGCTTAGTCGCATTTGGCCCCAATACATTGGCCTGCACCGTTTCCCCAGCTTGTGCCTCAGCGCAGTGAACGCGTCATGCACGCCTTGAGCTGGTTCACCCATCGACCACTAAACCAATACATGTGGCCTATTAATTCATGGTTGAGCAATTTGCTACAGCAGACGACTGTGATGGTTCTGTACCTTCACCTATGTCGGTTTTACGTTCCCGACTGGTGTTTCGGTTCCGTTCTAAGGGCATTGTAGTCAGCATTAGAAGCGTTACAACAGTTGGGCGTACATGAGTGAAGAAGAGGGCGATTCTGGCAGACAAAATAGCATGGGTGTGCCTATAATTTTCAGTAGGTAACCAATTACGATGACGGAGTACATGCTCAGCAGCACAGACCGACGAGATACACGGGCACTGTGCAAGAACCTCCGGATGTCAACTCTCGGACATCATGTCAATAGTACGGCAAATGTGCACGTGCCCATAAGAGCATCAAATGCTGGACAAGACATGCCTACAAAACGGGCTTGTGGAACTAAGTCCGCACAGCATGTACAGTTCCGCCTAAGACTTAGAACTGCAGCGAAAACAACGAGATAGCCATGGAACCACCCGTATATATGTTTGCCAAATGGAGTCAATAGAGTATTTGTCGACACTTGTAGAGCATCACAGGCAGACCAATCACATACCTACTTCAACCTGAACAGAATTCGCAGTCGCTTCGATATCTCTTTTGCTGCGACACACTTTCATAAAAGAGCTGCCAGGGCACTGTAGACAAAAATCTGAAGAGTAGGTTCTCCTGCCACAAGAGACTCCAGTGGACAGTAGTCCAACAGCATCATAGGCGAAATATGATTCCTTTGTGAAGTGGAGGCCTCCCCCCCAAGCTGGACCATGACGTAGCGGGTAATCAGGCCTATGTAAAATGGGACTACTGCACTGGTTTTAAACATCTATCTACAGATGAGAGTGAAAGTAATCATTCAGCTATAATGCATAGCCTCCATGCCACTCCATGGAAGCGTAAGGGCCGAGGCGGTGCCAGATTTCTCAAGACTAGACCGTAGCAGCGTAGGTACCCGGGTTGGTGAACCTGTCGGTCGGTAAGATCGCGCCTTCATTATTGAGCCATCTCGATCTCAAACCGAAGTAACCATAAAGTGGGACTCGGCTGTTTCTTCTGACATATTTTAGCCCAATTTGCTACACAAAGGCCACTTCATGCCCCAGTTAAGATATAATACTGCTTTATACTAAATGCAACTTAGAAAACGCCCCTATTTGCGTTTTTTGGCTGAATGTACCAGTTTACTAGACCCCAAAACTGCAGAAATAATGTCGAAAGGTTTGTTTTTACAACTATGAGGTCTACTCTGGTTGTTTTATTTTTAGCCATTCGGAGAACCGTACCGAACCAACAGCAAGAGGGAAAGATACAGATCTAGAAAGGTCGTTCTGTCTTTAGGCCTCCAATACTATCAAATCTCGACGCCTCTTCTCAGAGTCAATCTTACGACTGTAAAATAGGGATGAATTGCCACTACTGACACCTATCACTCTAGCTCATTTCAGGGCGTGCTTTTCGCGTCCAAAACCTCATACGCGCTCCCGTTGTTGACAGGTGATGCAACATGTCGGACTGCTTGCAAGACAGCATAGAACTAACCCTAAGCTATTATGTTACGTGATCTCCGATTACCGAGACGATCGTTGTTTGTTTTGTTACCTCCCAACCTTGTGCTCAAAAGCAAAATTAGTTTCAACATAACTCATAAAGTGCAAGAAAATCCTGGAAAGCCCGCGCTACCGATTTGGACTTTGGGTCACATCCTCGGTTAGGCCTGGTCACTAAATTTCCATCAAGCTAACCGCCCATTTGTACATCAAGTTGTACGTGAGTTACAAATGAAATTGATGTTGACGAGAGACATTCGACTTGTTGGATAGCAAGAATTGCCTAATTAATCAGCAGCTGAACAACTGACAAAGCTGAAATGGACAATATGAATTGGATCGATAAAGCTGAGAGGAGCGACAAGTAGAAAATCACCCATAAAAAGCCAGTGAAACGTGTGATCTGTCGACACACGAAGGTAAAGAACGAGCGGTTGGCGAAAAAGCCTCGTCTGGTATACGCTACTAGTAATGAACATGTACAGGGATGACACAAAATATAAAATAGCGACAGCATCATATGGTATTAAGAGAAGAGGAATGACCCAATAGCTATGATGACGAATCTTGAAAAAAAGTAGGGACAAGAACAGAAAACGTGCACCTGGCCCCGAGTGATGAAGGGGCCGAGTACACAAAATGACAGAGAACAAGCGAACAAATCACATAGTGTATGTCTGGTTAGTCGACCAGGGATGTAGCAGCAATTGCAGCAGCTAGGTCTGCGTTGCTCGAACAACAGGAGCCTCTCCGGGAGGTGTTACTCGAACCGGGGACACGTCGGTGCGAGTGGCAAGTGTTGTGACGGGAGTACTGGCTGAGGGCCCCCTGCCAAAACCGAACGACGTTTGCATTCTCCGGCGCCGAACAGTCAATGGAAGATAAGACTGCGGCCCAACGTCGGGTTGTATCCTCGCCTGTTAAAGCTGGACCCTTAACAAGAAAATGTAGGCCAAAAAACTCTGTTAAATGAAAACAAAATCCTTGAGCAAACGCGTGTTCTTCATAAACGCCACACAGTCAAATATATGGTGCGAGAGCTAGTCTCGAATGCAAGTGCTAGAGATAAAGCGCGATGTGGAAACGTATTTGAGTAACCAGCCATTTGCCCTATAGGTTATCTGCTTGGATCGAGTTTGACTGACTTTCAGATTCTGAAAATGGCTTCATCTACAAACGTCATAATGGTTTTTATTTGATACTATGTGACCGTAAAGGAAGGATGAGAGAAAAGTGGAACTGAGATGGCCTGGTGAGTCCAGTGACATTACTTTCGAGTCAAGTAAATGCTTCGCTTTTCTACACCAGCGTAAAAGCTCTATCGTGAACAGCGGAACTGTCGGGATCTGATGTCCATCAGAGGTCCGGTCCATCTGTACCGGCGTCATCTGTCTCATTCTAACAAATGAAAACATAATGAGCGTCGACTGTTGTTTGTGTTTTGGACAGCGTATCCGTACAGTTCCATCAGGGATTTCCTCGTTCAAGCCTGACCACCAGTAGCCACCATTATTTAGTGTAGGTCTGAGTGTCTTACCTCACTGATCGATTGTGTCGAATACACCCCAGAAAATGAGGTCCGATCCAAGCTACGCAACGATGCTTAAACCATCACTCGAAAGGCGTCATAATTAGTTGGCAAACTCATGTACTCTCACACGGTGAGTCCCCTGGTAACGACGCTGAAAACTGGCTTTCAGAAACTCTGGCATAAGACGGTGTACGAGCCCAAGCCGGCATTGCTTTCTCTGAAGTGTCGCCAGAAAGTTCTCGCAACTTTGAGGAGCATCGTGTAGCCAGTTTCATGAACCTGTTTATCATACTCATCGTCCCATACCAGTCAACTACCGAGAATAGAGCGGCGAAAATGTGTCAGCCAAATTCCACTCTTTTAGAGAAAACCCCCGAATACGTATAGAACTCGGGTTTTGAAGAAAATGCATCATGTGGTGGAGTAAACAGAAGACCCTTAAGCTTCCCGAGCGAAGCGATCGCCAAAGTCTTCCGACTATCGCGACAGCTGCGAACTGGGAGAGCACTTCAGGCCGACGACGAGTCGTAGGGTGTGACTATTGCTAACTCGCAGAAAACTGTGAAGGCTTTGCGGAGAAGCCGCCAATTCAAGGCAATAGGCAAGCCAGCTGACGCATCGATGATATTTCCAGCATTGGAATATCACTCACGGATGATGTGTAGTTTAACATCGGTAACAGCTAATTAACTGGTTGCTGTTTGCAAAAAGTAGCCAGGACAAATTTTTGAGTACAATGAAATCTCAATATTCAAGCCATTGATTTGGGTTGCATTCCTTCCGGTTATCATGAAATCTGTTTTCTTCTATAAGATAGTGGACGTAGCTTACAAGAACTACTGGATTTGCAGCGAAAAAAAAACAAAGATACGTAGTGTGTGCTGGGTCTATTCACACAGATTTTTGCGACACTTTACCTTCTACTGAGGTCCTCACAACGAAACATAGGGGATACTGCAAACGTAGTTAGTGAGTGTCTCCAGCTCAAATAACAGATAATTTGACAGAGTCCAAAAACGTCATTCACGCCATCATAGGATACCAAAAAAGGATAACCGCCTACCTGACAACGTTTGAACGAATAGAGTAAGCGAGCTTTGTTAATCCATTCCTGTCTGATAGCTGATAGGGCAAGATCCATAGCACTTGACGGTAGTGGGGGTTGTACACTCAGAAGCTGAACGATACGATTCGCAAACGCGCCGACAGGTGTAGACGGTAGAGTTGTATTGGGCAGTGCACTGAGTGTCCGCTTCTGTTCCCCTTTGGATGAAGCCTGGCGAAGACTAGCTAATTGTGGGTCGATTGACGGTAGGGTGGAACACAGCCGGAACTGAAGCTGCGGGAGGGAAAAGTGTCAACAAAAGGCTTGATGTCACGGAAACTAGCGGGTAAAAGAAGCCTAACCAGCTATCAGTCTCGAGTGTGGAAAAGAGCCCCTGACAGAATATAGAGCATTCAAATGAGTTTGAGTGCCCATCTATCAAGATGAAGGGTGGAGAGAGGGGGTGGGGTGAGAGATAAAGACTAGCCGTGTAGAGCCAACAACTTATCACAAGTTAATCAGAGTACTACAAGAGCGTTTCTTACACAAAGTCTCTGAAGCTTTGCTCTCTCTTTTGTCTCTCTCCCTATATCTCAAATGAGCGACAAATTTAGGAAGCTTGATGGTCCAGAGTAGGAAATGCCATGTGCCCCCACCCTGAAAGAAACACAAGGGCTGAGGTGCTGTTAACAGCCCAGACAGAAGTAGTCGAGATGCTAAAACTGGGTCGGAATGCGGAGCTTCTGGTCAGTAAGTTTACGTCTTAACCATTAAGCCATCTCAAGCTCGGTCAGTTGATCTAGATCAGGGCAGATGCCACCAGGATCCCATGATCACACACATGAGCAACGATAGCAGGAACTGCAAGATTCCAACACGTAACACAATCGCAATTACCATTGGCTATCAAATCAGGACCACTAGACGTCTGAGCGATCATGTTACCGCACCAATAAAACTGACCACACTCACTGAATGAACGAGCTGCTCGTCAGCTGCCGCAAGCTCTACTGCTGCGGGTGACTGATTGCGACAGACAGCCAAAAATTGTACGCCATCACTTGGTGTCCAGTCGGGTTCTGGGGGCTTCGCATCAACTGTCAAACTAAGCAAGTTACAACGGAAAGCTGGAAGATACTCGGGACTGGTGACAATCTGCAAGGGAAATGCGAGTCATGAGGATGTGAGAGCGATAAACTAATGAGTAGATAACTTTTTTTTTTTAAATGACCAAATGACGGGTGGAAAAACGCACCTGTTTCCGACATGCTTTGGGAAGCAATTTGGCCATGGCTGCGACAACCAAGCAACCATTCAGGTCATCATCCAAAGGCTGCACCACGAGTTGATTGCCTACCGCCAAATTTTGAACCACAGAACTGAAACGCTTCACTCCCAAAGCATGCATGAGTCGCGTCAGGACGAGTAAGGCGCTGAGTAGGGGAAGAGTAATTATCAGTGTAAGGTTCGGCGTTGAGTACATGTGCGGAAACAAGGTCGAAGTGAATAACTCACAGTGCTGTCTCCTCCTCTGCAGAACCGTTAGTGATGCCTAGGGATTTGCCAACCGACATGGTTGCGTTACCGACCATTCCCACAGGTGGAATCGGAGTTGAACCGGATGGGTATAGTTGGCCGGATGAGGAACCAGAACCCACAGAGCTGCTGCCTCGACCAGGTGCGGCAGATACATTGATAAAGGGCTGAGTGATCAGTAAAGGATCCGCACTCAAAGCCTGACGTTCTTCTTGTTCAACGAGGCTATCTTCGTCCGGGACCGCCGTGAGTGAAGGCAGCGCGGTCCAGTGCCGGGCACCAGCACGAAGCAACCAGGTGAACCATGCGTGAATGCGGTAAAATATCTGTGAAAGTAAGCATGATCAGTTGGTGGTACCGGAATAATTTCCATTCCATCATGGAGATTCTGAGACATACTTGGGAGAAAAATCCAATTAAGCAACTTGTTACCTGACGTCAACGCCAGGGCTTCAGTAGTCAATGTCTGAACACCTTGCACCCAAATCACAACAACCAGCACTTGACCGTCTTTTTATCTTGCACACGGATGACAGCCAAAGCAAAGTAGTGGCGTCGATTCGAGTAATATTCCAAGGTTACTTGTGCAAACAAATGTCTAAAATATCGTAGAATAGACTTAGTTAGTGCTTTGACCGACGTCTTCGAATATCAAGGTGTCCATCAGTACGCTTTCCGCCCTCGAATCACATGAACCTGGTCACTTGTATCCGCCAAAGTGGTTCACTAAAGTACATCCATGCAACAGTTCTACGAAAGAAGTTGGTTTCCAGTGGTACGTCACCAAACATCACCTATCGGAGTTTTTCCGAACCAATCAGTCACCGACATCGGGAACAGGTAGCTCTCGGTTTGGGTAGAAGCGACGCTGCATGCGTTAAGCAGTATATTTCCACGGAGAAAAAAGCTCGTGACGGCGTATCTATGGTGACGTCGTGGATGAAGCATAGTTTTAGCTACTCATTTTAATCAAAGTAGTGTTTTACTGTTTGGTATGATCTTCGTACTGGCTGCAGCCGAACCACGCACTGTTGGCCCCAGCAAGGTAAGCGAAATGCAACCTTTGAACTGACTCATTACGTGCAAAAAATTTAAAGGGATGAAGTGTTGACCAGGGGTCAGATCACATGTCTGCACAATTCTTTAAATCCGAGTCAGACATTCGGATGCATTCTGAAGCTCAAACTATTTCAGTCTGCAGTGGTTAGAGCGCGAATTTACTGACCGGAAGGTCCGTGGTTCGAACCCGTCCTCTGCCACTCGACTTCCCCCGTCTAGGCTTGGGCGACCTGGCAGTATCCCAGCCCTCGTGCTTCCTTCGGGTCGCATGGCAGTTAGGCACCGAAAAGGCGCTACAGCTGACGATCGTGACACAATTCCGTCAACGGTTGCTCATTTAACACTTCGTTCAGGGTTCAAAATGAACTTTCGTTCGTGAGCACGATGCGTGAGCCATACCACTTGTTGAGTCTTTAGCTAACAGGAAACAGCTTCGGGTTTGTAAGAACAGGTTCCACGGATCGGTTCTCCTTGCCTGAAAACTAAACTAAACGTGTAGTCAGCCAACCAGTTGGCCTGACGATGATTTCGCGTAAAAAGCAAAACGATGCCCAGCTACCGATTGCTTTTCAGATTATCCGAAAGGAGGAGGGTATTTATTCGGGAAGGAGCTTCACAAGAGCTGTGTTAGTTGTAGAGACTCTCCTCTTAGTGGTCATCTTATGCTCCAAAGTAAAAGTGTAGGTTAACGATCATAACTCTTCTCACGATCACTTACTGTGAAAGTGCAATTATGAGACTAAACCAAAGACTGACCTTTTCATCTCTTGTCAAATCGCACAAAGACCGCATATCTGAGTCCCCTGCTCGTCTGTGTCTAACGGCAGGGCCACCGCCGACCGTGCTAACAGGCATTGGGGTTGCAGTACCGGCTGCAATCGCTTGTCCACAGAATGCTGGTGGAGTGGCTTCTCGACTGGGATGCGCATTTGTTGCCACGGGTCTTGAAGCAGACGTGCCGGCTCCACCGCTGGTGGTTTCGGAAACGAAAACCCGTTCTGCCGCTTGTTTTATTCTCGAGGCCATTTCAGACAAGTTAGAAATCTGGGAGGATAGGGAAAAGTAAACATAGGTCTCTCTTGATTTCATTCGGTAGTGAAAACCCTCTCGGTTAAAAACCGAGGCGAATTCCCTCAAGGGGGGTTTCAGGGGTGGAGGGGGGATTGGAATTTGAAACAAAATTCATTGGAAAACCGACTACTGGTTCGATGGCTGAAGCAACTGACACTTGTTCCTACAGTTTTTCAACCTTTTTGTCCAGTAACTAGTTTCAGGTATTTTGTCTACCACTTCAAGAGGTGATAACCCTGATGGGACTTGGCAGCGAGACAGTACACAGGTAAACAGGAAATATGTTACAGAAACAACTGGTTGAGTTTTATGAGCATGTTACAATAACCTTATCTGAGTTCCCAGTACACTCATCCCAAGATTACAAGTGTTACCTGTGCGAAAGGCGCAAGAACGCTTCCAAACCAAAACACGTAAACTATCCCGAGACACCTACTAGTCTAAAAACGCGTGAGAATTCGTAACATTCACTTTTCTATCATCAAGTCACCTTGTCTAAACAGAAGGATGAGCTTTCCCACACCCAATCACGAGCAAGTTTTATCTGACAAATTGACAAACGGCCGGCTGACTAATTTCCATTTCAGGCCTAAGCTGTAAAGTGAGCGTGTAAGGCTCGAGAAGTTGCATTTTACGCTTGCCGTACGGCTAAATGTATCAATCTTACCACATCGTGCCCGTTCGTCCACTTTGCCACTGATTTCTACATCAGACCTTCTCCGTTATCACAGTACTGTTGATTGTGCTATCCAGCAGACGTATTAAGGTTGATATCAACGCTCTTGTTGTGCAGTTCTACATGCGGTTTATTCCGCTACACGTCTCAGATGTTTTATTGTCTATGGGATGGTGACGAAAAAATTTTCGGCTCATCCGTGCCTCACTGTAGGTAACTGGTCGTTCAAGGGCTACCGACGGAATTCAATCGGTAGGGGATTCCGCATTAGTGCCCCTAAGGGGCATTCATATCATCAACAGCTACTGGAACTACAAGTTTCTTCGTCAGCCACAAACGAATGGCTTTGATGTCCCTATTCATAATATCACTTCCAAGGTATTACGAATAGTTTGAAGCGGCACCGCGCGATTTTCTAGGACGATATGAGCACTGTATGACCAAACTGAGATTTCAGCTTTCAAGCAGGCTACTGGTCGAAAAAGAGGGATGGCATCGACGGTGTACTGATCCCAATTACACTCACCCACTTGTGAAAGTCAGGTTAAGACCGAATCTAACTGCGACATCCGGTAATATTCCGTCCCTTGGACCTATCACAAACGCATCATCAACTGATATCGCATTCACAGTGAATAAAATTAACTTTGTACCTATTCTAGATCACATTAGCAAAACAGAAATTCAAAATAGTCAAAATAGTTGTAGTTCTTGACTGGTTTTACATAGCGCATTCAAAGTACAACCACGCATCACGTTTACCAAACTCTACATCAATGTAATCAGAGTTGATTATCGTTAAAAAGGCAACCAGTGATTCCTCTTCAGCGCCAGGTAGCGTCCTGGCGAGTTGGTGTGACTGCCAGTGCCGCCCGGACTGCTGACATGTTTTGCACCATCCTGATTACTACATTGTGATTCACAGAGGTCAAGTGATCAACTGATCGCTAGTCATGATCAGAGATCAGCGGGTCACATTGCTATTGGGTAAGCCAAACTGCCGGGTTTTCCCATTACAAGTACCATGTGGCATTCCACCTGTTTGGGAAGGACTTCTGAGGGCTATGCCATTGCCACCGATCAAAACTTCATAGTTAAGTTTCACCAACTAGTCACTGCATTTAATACTTCATCTGCTGATGCGGGAATATATATCTCCATAGGACTGATCGAAAACTGGAAACGCGAGCAAAAGAGCACCCGTCCAGACCAACTTGCACACTACTGACCGACTATGATTTAGCCTGGAACGAGTAGAGAATCAATATATCGATCATCTAGTCGAAATGAAACACAGAGGTGAACTTTATTCTTCTTTCCGAGTCATAGCACGAAGGAACCGCCCAGATTGAGTGAAGATCCTTGCAGGGACATTGATTAATCTATTCAGGCCTTCACTGTGCACCCAAAAAGGGATAAATGTTACTTTCAGACTACGTTGGCTTTGTTCGCTTGTCAGATTACACTTTACATCTATTTCGAAGGCGCAACCAGCCTTTCGTTGTGTTTCATTCTCTTCCGTTTAACATTTATTGAAGCAGGCGAGATCGTACGAAGTGAATCCACCCGCGACACTGGTTCAAAAGACCCGGGTAGATAAGTGCCCAAGAGTAACAACAGGATTATGATTCAGCATGAGAAAAGTAAGAAATTATATGTAAGTTGTCTATCCAGGAAGAATCAATTATTTGTTTCAACAAATCGAAAAGCGTTGAGACGGCCCAAGTGGTTGGAGCGCTAATTTACGTACCGAAAGGTCCGTGGTTCGAATCCCACCTCCGCCTCTCGACTTCCCCTGTCTAGGCTTGGCCAACCTGGCAGTATCCCAGCCCTCGTGCAACCTTCGGGTGGCATGGCAGTTAGGCACCGGAAGGGTGTTACAGCTGAGCCATTATCTTTATCTTATCATTTATAATTCACCGTTCCAGAAAGGCTTTGGAAGATAAGGTGGCTGGTTTCCCTTCCGCCTTAAATGTCCACCAACCTTCTAGTCGCTTGGCCTGACAAATCTTTTATGTCAAAAGCGAAACGATGCCCAGCAATATAGCTACAGATTGTCTCACGAAAATCTCCGAAAACCGATAGCCTTGTTTTGTTAGGGATTAACATTAACTGCAAAGTGCACACGTGTTGCCAACAAATACCTTACGTGATGAACAGAATGATTTTGCGAAATAACAGGGATTCCTTGGTGTAATGAGGCAGAAAGTGGACTGTATGGGTCATACAGACGACAAAATCTCAGTCTTGGCTATCGTCGATCTTGCGGTCGGTGTGTGAGCTGCACGGGCAACTTGTAACAGTCTCCTTGCAACCAGAGGTCTCAGCTGATGATTCGTTCAGTTGTAACACCCTTTTCGGTGCCCAGCTGCCATGCCACCCGAGGGAAGCATGCGGGCTGGGATAATGCCAGGTTGCTCAAGCCTGGAGAGAAGTCGAGATGTAGAGGTCGGGTTCGAAGCTCTAATATTGTACCACCTGACAGGTTTGGTCAAAAACTGCTGCAGTCACCCTTGGCTGAGAGGTGCACTATATCTTGGAAGACTGTATAACTGAGTACCGGTCCAATCCTACCAAATAAAGGGGTAGTCGTTCACATTGAGGTTTTTTATCATAAAAACCGCATTCCGTCAGTATTTTATCCATGTTACATGTAACATGTGGGTTCCAACTAAACCCGGGTTGATCGAGATAGCTCAGTGTTTAAGGCGTGAACTGCAAGGTCCATGATTCGAATCCAACCTAAGCATCAAGATTGCCCCTGTCTAGGCTTAGGCGACCTGGAAGTCTCTCAACCCTCGTGCTTTCTTCTGGTGGCATGGCATCTGGGAACTGAGAGGGTATTACAGCCAAATCCCTATTATGTATGTTTCAGTTTGGAAACAAGGAGCTGGTAAAACGAGAACCTTAGCCATTCCATGCGGAATATCATCCGAGCGGCTAGACGTTCGAGTTAGCCGAAATTCCATTCGGCACATAGAGCACAGAAGCAGAAGGAAGGTTACCAAACTTAAGTAGCAAACCACCGCCAACACTGCAAACGTAACGAAGGATGCCAATGAGCTTAGCGCATGCCTGTTCTTTTTTGCGTTAAGCAAAAAATGTCAGTAATAGGCGAACAGAGTAGACTGCCCAGTAGACAAGTACTCTTTTGTGCGCAAAAGGCACTCGGTTAAGACAGGCTCCAAAGACGAGCAATGAAATTACCGGAGCCTGTGCAGTTTCACTGCCCAGTTTCATTATTAAGGACTGGATAGAAAAAGCGTGTACAGGATAAAAACCAAACAATATAGGAACGGATTGAGTGGGTACGGTAGATCGATATTAGAGACGTGGTACGACGAGATAAGAGGAAAGGAATGTTCTGGTTACGGAGGTGGGTGTGTCATGTGTTGAGAAGAAAGGCATGTCGATACTGCATCCAACTCTCTTAGAAAACAGCGAGTTGCCGCACTGCTACACGGGTGTGGATAATGTAAGTTTGACCTTGGCGATTGGTAAGAGTACATGAAATTTCAACGCTTCACGAATTATGTCCCCTCACTTCTACGACGTGCTCATCAAGTTCTCCAAAGATATACTTTCATGTAGAGGACCACAGCTTCCTTACCCTTGTGCAGTGCCCGGTTCCTGGGGCAGGTGGGGATCTCAGGAAGTTCAGACCAATTGATGGGAGGCGCAAGGAACTGTTCAATTTCACATTCGAATCAAAAGTATACTCACCAGGAATGGCCACAGATTCAACAGATACAATCTATCCCAAGAAAGCACCAGGATGCTAAAACGACCTTGGAAGCCACGAGCTTGAGAGTCTTTCACACCGAAGTTGTAGCTCACCACGTGACCATTGATTTCATCACCGAAGTAGAACGCCCCCTCCGGACTGGGGGATACCTGGGAAGACCAAAAGAGAAGGTTGCCCATCAAAATCTTTGATCAACACAAAAGGTTAGATGGTAAGCATAAAACTACAAGAAAAGCCAACGAACCGTGCGAAATGACCTTCGACAAAGGATTTTCAAACCGGGTTGTTTTAGTCTAAGGAACTGGAAACAGAGTATAAGCTACCTTCTGGTTCAAACCAGGGACGTGGGAACACAGGAAACTGATTACTGACCGGGGTACTGAACCGACCTCGAACCCGACCTCTGTCTCCCGAATTCCCCTGTCTAGGCTTGGACAACTTGACAGTATCCCAGCCCTCGTGCTTCCTTCGGCTGGCATGACAGCTAGGCACCGGAAGGGGTACTGACCAACTAGGAATACAAGGGGTAGCCAAACTGGAAAAAAGCATACATGCCGAGCTTTCACAAGATTTTAGGTCACAAAACAGCGTACGAGTCTGGTAAATCTTGATAACTGAGTAAACGTGGGGCAGAGCAGCGATTTCCGGTAGTCGGAACGAAAAATCTGAGCAGAAGTCCGGTATCCCGGTTTTTTCTTGAAGCCTGTGAAACTTCGACGCTTCGAGGAGAGCCGATTAGATGTACGAAATCATTCTGCAACACACGTTTGAATATATCAGTAAGGTTTAAGAACGGGAATTGTTTAATAGATACATGACCAAACACAGCGAGCTACTCCAAACGAGGAGTAACTCTGTTGAACTCACGGAATAAGGAATACGGCCAATCCAGAAGTTACATGACTCAAGGTGATGGTATATTGAGAAAACATTTCACAATTCATCGAGTGGTGTACGGTAATAAATCCGATTAAGAGAAAACTACACTAAAAGCTCATCGAAGAAAAAACGGTGCTAGCTCAGTTAGTATCTGACAAAAAATAATCTCAACCCAACTGACCACTTCGTTGCAACTCGCCTTTGATCAAAAGCACGACTGTATGCAATTTTTTACTCTATGGAGGCTGTCACACGACAAACTATAAGCCGTCTCTGTCTTGACGTTCCTTAGCAGTTCAATAAGGTCAGAGAAATCAGAAAACGTTAGAAGGGAACAGTGGTCGATTGGAGTCATGCACCACCTGGGAGGTTGCTGTGATGCTCTCCTGAATGGCCAACAGTGAACAATCACTAGAAAATGTAGATATTAGCCTCTGATGGGTTTGTCTTGAAGTTCGGCGTCTGTCGGCGCTTTCAGGCGGAATGGGGACGAGGTAAGGTTTCCCTCACGCTGAGTCCGACAATACTTTCAATATAGTACAGGACAGGTCACTTTCCTTGCACTTTCTTGCACCCACTAGCCACCAACGGTGCAGGCCAAGTACACACAAAACAACAGCATTACCTCTGAGGACAGACTGCGTTGGCAGGCCGTCCGAACAAAGTGTAGTAAGTCCGGATCCTTGGGTAACTGAGTAGAACTGTAGGAGATGTTTGCCGCCTGGTCCTGACTCACCAAACCAGGCTCGTCACGTGTGGTAAAAGTACACGCACGACAAGTGCCCCGCATTGATAATAACGGTTGCTGAGACGTACCAGGAGAGGTGTTTGCATTCAGTAGCCCGGGGCATGCAGCATCTTCAGGAATAGGATAAAAGTTAGAAAGAAACAGACACAGAAAAAACAGGTGTACAACCAGTTTATCCTTCCGAAGGATCGCTCCTGGAAGACATATCAAGTCGTTTCTAAGGTAAGGAAATCGCGTAACATAGTAACATCCAGATTAGATTGATCAATCGGCAAAGCATCGCTTGTCATGATAGACGCACTGCTGTTGGAAATCACTGGATACAACACAGAGAGTCAACCTTTTGATGATTCTCCCGGAACAGAGTGGACGGAACTCGTGAACAAAGAAGAGGGCTCAGTCGGATGTTGTTGTTTATGTTGTGATTTATAGTTGAGGCGCATCTAAACCTTATATCATGCTGAACGAAAATCCTATGAACAAAATGCCTACCCGTAGAAGGCCAAAATCACCTTTGTGACTTTCAAGTGAGTTGGTCCGAAACAAGCGTGTCAAAAAAGTGGTCACACGTAAATGAAAGATAGCTGGCGCCAGGAAAATTATGGAATCTTCAGAAGTCATCCTAGGATTGGGGTAACAAACAATACTGCCCGATTGATCGCCGTTTCTACGAAGAACTGGCAGAAGACCAGTGAAAGTGCCAAGCCAGCAGCACATGCCAAACTGAAGGTCACACGATCCACTTCACGCAGGGCCGAATGAAATAAGCCATGGGGGAGGACTGATTCAAGGCTCTCAGTAGGGATCGAATCTGGGTCGTCGGACTCAAAGCCCACTAGGCTGTGAGATGGAGGCAGAGCTATCTTGCCACAAGTATCAATTCGTACTACCCGACGGCAGGTTTGAAAGGAATACGCAGTCATGTTTCGCTTATGATTAATGTAGGAGGCATATAACAACTCCTGATGCCATCATTACACCAGAGACAGCAAAATCACTGTTGATGCTGATGCCTCACTGACCTATCAGAAATCCACATAGAAGTAGGTTGTCATGAAAATGCCTGATTTCGAGGTCATTGAACTTCCCAACGGGCAAGTTGGTATCAACATCGAAGTAGAATAAAACTGCTAGCAGACATACGGATGCAAGGATTTCCTGTTCTAAGAAATGCGGTGATTTGAATCGGGTTGTCAATAAACAGGAGTTGGGGAAACGAGGCTTCAGTAAGGCTAACAATTGAGTGGAGGGAAAAAGCGGGTGTCCGGTGTTGGAGCCACGCTGATAAAATACCAACAGTCTGACCAGCAGCAATGAACTGACTTAATAATAAAAACAGTCAACCAGGTGTGAAAAACTTTCGGTGTATAACTACAGTGTCAAACTACAGTGCTCAAGCCTAGACAGAAGCAGTCGTGAAACTGGGGTTGGATTCGAACGAAAGATCTTCCCATCAGTAAGTGTGCTCTAACTACTGAGGTATCTCGAACTCACTGGGCTGAAATGAATTTCAAGACAGTGCATAGCGTAAATCCCATGGTTTGCATTACGATGTAACGACAGTTGTGCAAGCTAGTTTCGCCACTTGGGATTCGGTGACGACGTGTGAAGAAACGGAGAATTGAACCCTATTCAAAAGGGTAAGAAACTTAAAGACCGGAACATCATGCTCGCTGCTGTCAATGTTTACATCAAGGTTATTCGTGAGAAGAATAAAATTTGACCAACAGAAGCCTGGTACCACCCGATAGAATGTACATTCTGTCCACACCACGCAAAATAACCCAGACAGAAGTCGGTAGCAAAAACACCATTGATATTGATTCACATCTTGCATCATGTAGCCTTTCTAGTGAAGCGCAAGGGAGATATAGACATCGCTTTGAAGGGCGAGTTGCAAGCAGAGTACTCAGACCTTTTAAGTCTTATTCCAGCTCTCTTCCAAGCAGAACTTTCCTAGCTTGTTTTCATCAGCCATACATAGAACAACACTCTATTAATAAGACAACTCAGACCAACTCAGCGGTGCTTACCGCTCACAAAATCAACCAACCAACCGACTAGCGAAGCATAGGAAAATACTCCTTCAATTCCGCTTCTTACTACCTAATGTGTTTTGCATCGCAGAAAATAGATGAGTGTGAAGATTCGATTTCCTCTCTCATATGATAAAACAGTGGAGGGTGGGAACAACAACATAAAAGGGTATCATAGCAAGTAACGTAGCCGGTAGTTATGTGGCATAAAGAAACCAGAAAGTGCTTTTGCACTGAGAAACTCACCGGCAGCAAATACCAACGGACCAGATGGAGCATCTGACAACAACAAGTTGTCACCACTTCCACCACCACCAGTTCCATAAAGAACAACATGGGAGGTCGCTCGTCTGATAGCGGGATAGTCGGAATGAGAGGAATGTTCCGATCCATTTGGACGTGCAGGAAGTTGTCTATAGGGTTGTGTGCACATAACTACAGACGGGCCATGTTGTTCACAGAAGTGACAAAAAACGACGAGCGCGTTCATCACAGAGCGCTTCGCGCACCAGTTAATTTCTTAATGGACCTAGAAATGAAAATAAATGATAACGGGTCAGTTAGCCAGTCACATTAAATGAGATACTACAAGAGGAGAAAGCAAAAGTAGCCGTGCTAAATAAAGATAGAGGGCGAAAGCACTGAATCCTGAACATGTCCGTGAATAAAACCCCATCGCGACTCTTTGATAAATCCTACGTGGACCAATGCAGCCCAGCTGCATCATACACCTCGCGTCTCTTTTAAGTAGCAAGGACGCCAAGCGCCAAGAATGCAGCGGCTGAACGGCTTGGTTTTCAGTGTCAAAGGTAGAGGTGGTTTATTCCCAAATAAATAGGGCTGACATCCAGTAACTTGGGTTTGCAGGAGGAACCTCAGAAGTGAAACACCTCACCATAACCACACAGTGGAAGTCATCATGCTCGAGGCTGTCATTATTGGGTCCCAGGGAACTTCGGCCGCCATAGGCACCATTCTGAAGTGAATAACGTTATACATGAAAGCTGCCTACTATGCCAAATAGCTCGTCGACTGGCCAGAAAACATCTCAGTTTACGTCACTCGTCCCCTAAGTGAAGGGAAATTAATGCCATGAATGTACTGTATTGTGGCTACCCTATAAGGCAGTCGTGAAAAGGCTTTTTCAAATGATGACCCAGTGTTGACTCAAGTAGCACAAGGCATAGACACACTGTGAACCCACGCACTCGAAGGTTGGCCTGAAGGGGTTGGACCAACGTTCTGAGTTAGCGTCCCCGGCGACTTTGTCAAGCTCAGCGACATGTTGGAGATAGTCATCTGCCCTCGTTTGCGGGCTGAACTCCACCCTTATGCCTAAAAAGGATGGAACGAGGCGACTGAAGGGCCAGAAGCGCTAGACTGGCGAGTACACAACGGATGGACATACTGAGTGTTAAGTGCATTTGAGAACACACCAAGGATTGATAGAACTGTCTGGACGTGATCTGAACTCAGTTTATCAACTATAAACTACGTACCAAAGATACCCAGGTTCTAGCCACAACAGCTCCATCACCGAAAACTTGGAGACCACAAGAGGTACAGCGAGGTATATGATGCTATAGACCAACCAGTTAACTGACTTTCAATACTTTTAGTTATCCGATGAGGCACAAAACTGAATAGCTGCGCATCGAAGGCAATAGTCTCGATTCAGAAGCACCACTGATTACATGATTCAGCTGTATTTGTCAGCGTCATTAAAGACGGACGAGTTGAATCCCGTGGTTCTATTCAGGGAGGCAAGAGTTGTCAACCCGGATGTTTACTGGTTATGGTTTTACTACTTCGTTACCAGGTCACAGACTATCCATCGATAGTTCAGCTTTGGTACACGGCTGGACGAAGAGGGTTCTGATAGGTAGGTGGTCCTCCGGCACGCTTAGTGTACGTCCTAACTAGTGTAATGTGTGAAACAGTGAGCATCTTGCCTATCGTGTAAGAGTCTTTTATTCTTAAAATCATTTGGGTCACCTCAACGTTGCTAGTTCGACGTTCCCACACAAAAACACTATGTATAGGAGACACCGAGTGATCAAGCACCATATATTTCCGTACATCATCTGCGCGCGTAGGCCACGTTTCTGAACAGTAGAGCAGTGTGGATCATATCACTGTAGCTTGTCATACCACTGAGAGACAAACTGTCACCACGCCGGCGAAATAGGTGTCGAAGGTTGACAAAAGGCTGTCCTGGCACCTTCTGCATGATAAGATTTCACATTCATCCAGTCCGACGGAGCTTAGATAACTGCCTACGTGGATAAATTTATCGGCTACCACAACTAGTTCGTCCGGCAGAAGTAGTTAGGTTGTTTAAAATATCTTGCATCATTAATACATCTGAATTGAGTACAACCATGTCATCTGCATATGCAACCGAACGCCCCGAGGGTAGTTCCGCTCCCAAATTTTCAGCGGCAGGCAAAAAACTATTAAACAGATCACCAACAAGGGTGAAGAGGAATAGTAAAGTAGGGCAGCCTCGTCCTACACAGTGAACTCAGACGAGCTCACTGTATAGCCATAAACGCTAACAGGAGTTGCTCTGCGGTGTCGCGATGAGGTATGAATTTCGAAAGGACAGCGTTGATCGCCAGAGACTGTCACAGTTTCTGGCGACCATTAGCCTCAAAAGCAGAAGAACGACGGTCTTCGAAAATCTGAGTGAAGCTGTTCAGAAATCGGACTCGAAGTAGGTGTACGGCAGCAAAGCATTAGTGTTGAAAACTGATGTTAAACTGTCGATGACTATGATAATTAGACAGGCAAACAAAGTCGTCAATTCATCCTTGACTAAGGGGAAACCCAGCCTGATACTTCCGAACCACTCTGCCGATAATCCAGCAACCTGAGGAAAGTAATGCTAGGGTATCTTGGGTACTACGGCTACCGACTGGAGTCAGAGTGGAAGCGTGCTATTCCACTGATATCCTCTCTACGTTTGAAGCAGTTTTGGTAGCTTAAGGTGGCTGTGATTAGGGTGTAAACCTAGTGACCGGAAGGTCCGCGGTTCGAAACCAACCCCGGCATCTCGGCTGCTCCTGTCCAGGCTTGATCAGTCTGACAGTATTCAAGCCCTCATGATTTGTTCTGGTGGAATGACAGCTGAAAACCGCTACAGCTGAATGCTTTATTATTATTATTATTATTAAGGCATGGTATGATCATTAGGCTGCTCACAAGGGCTTCATCGCCTGCTTTGAAAAGTGGACTGTACAGAGCATCTCCATATGGCGTTGAAGGAAGGACATCTCGCACTCGAGCCCTGTTGCTGATGTGGCTTTGTTGTCGGCGTTCCATTCAGGTTCTGTGAGATGTCCTGGTGCCTGTGATAGAGGCAACATGAATTGTTCGGCCTATCGCCCGAGAGAATGATTCTGCGAATGGATGTTCGTTGCATTTTCTTCGGAAATTCTTCCTCTGAAACTCGTCTTGTCTCGACCAGTTGATCAGATTAGCTGAGAAATGGAACGAAGAAAATATTCTGGGGTTTCGCAGTCCACCAGTGTCCTTTGAAATTTATTAGGATCCTTAGTATCCAGCATTTGAAAGGTTTGTGTGCGCTATCATGGTTGCTAGTCGCTGGGGTGGTTTTACTGGTACTGCTATGATCTGATGATCATGAAAATTCAAGTTTCATTTGGTCTAGTAAGATGGGTTGGGAAAACAATATTAAGGGTTGAGGTCATAGCTTTTTCACTGTCTACCATTCATCCTCCAATAAAGCATCACCGTGGCTGTGCGTTTCCAGTGGTTTCCCCGCTAGATTGGCTCGACATTGTTGATCTACATAAGCTTGTTAGAGGTGATGAAATGAATGCCTCTGTATTGGATGACGTGATCCTGAGAAGACGACCCGATAGGTTGGGCCACAATAAATTGGTCGGAATCAAGTAACAGAATTCAGGAGGAATTGCAATGTTAAATTGAAACTCTCAACTGATAACCACATGATCCAACCGATGTAATGACCCGTAAGTAGTTGATGGCACCCAAGTGATACCAGTTGAGCGTTTGAAATGGAAGCCGCATTGACCATGGACTGAAGATGTTACCCTCCACTATTCCTACGCTGAGTATCACCTAAGAGTCTACCAATCAACTATGCTTTCTCCGGGTTAGGTAAGTCAACTTCAGCATTAATTTGCACTTTGAAGGTACAAGACGCATGCCAAAAGATGGCACGGTGACGGTTAGCTTATTTAACAGAGCTTGTGTCGCGCCTCCGTATTCAAGGTCCGCCTCTGTTGAAGGCCAGGATTATGGATTGGAGGGAGAAGGTAGTCAGCTGAATTGCTGTTCCAAGTACTGTGCTCAGCAGTCCAAACGTTCTGCTTTCTGCATATGAGGGAGCCAAGAGGTTTCCGAGCGCCAGTCGAACGAATCAAGTGGAACAGCTTGCGGAAGTTTCCAATATACTTTGCACCTTCCAATTCTTCCGGCTTTCGGGTCCACCAAGCTATTCGGTCTGCTCAGACACTCAGTTTCACCTGGCGTCGGAGAATGCGTCGGGTGGAGCTGTGGTTGCGGCCAGGAAGAACCTGTCGCCGTCATCATCATCATCGACAGCATGACATCAGTGTTCAACACCGATGCTTCACTGCCGTACAACCACGACTTATTTGAAAGCCTTATTGTAAAGAAAAGAGTAAAGGTGGATGGGGGGACTTAGTGCTGGCTTAACACAATCATTCCGAGGTGCCTACACCTCCAGACATTCACTCAGGCAATCTGGATAGAAACTGACAACAAGAACGCCACTGACATCGGTTGGCAGACATATCTTGTAGTGTCTCCAACCAGGCACAGTGAGGATCACGCGGTCCCCATCCCGGAAGGCGAGTAGCACCGACAGCACCCAAGCGTTTCGTGAT